GATAGCTACAGACCTGTCTCTCTCCTTCCGTTCATAGCGAAAACTCTCGAACGAGTTGTTTTCAACCAGGTATCATTGTTTCTTTCACAGAACAACAAACTGGACGCTAACCAGTCAGGTTTCAGGAGTGGCCCTTCAACTGAGACTGCGCTACTGTCAGTCACTGAAGCCTTGCAGATTGCAAAAGCTGATTCTAAATCATCAGTTCTTATTCTGCTAGATCTATCTGCTGCTTTTGACACTGTCAATCATCAGATCCTCCTGTTCACCCTCTCATCACTGGGCATCACAGGGATTCCACTTCGCTGGTTTGAATCCTATCTCACTGGTAGGTCGTTCAGGGTGGCCAGGGGAGGGGAGGTAACCAAAGCACATCAACTGCCACAGCCATATCACCCTGCAGCCCAAGACTGGTTGCCCACTGAAGCTAAGCAGGGTTGAGTCCTGCAAACTGGTGGTTGTTGTGGTTGAGGAGAGACACCCCCACATGACTGTAAATCGCTTTGGGTGTACAGCAATACACAATAAAATGCTATATAAATGCATCATTCATCATCATCATCATTCAACTGGTCACTGGAGTTCCACAGGGATCAGATTTTGGACCCCTCCTCTTCTCCATATGCCCTACATCACTGGGTCCCATCATACAGGCACATGGCTTCTCCTACCATTGCTATGTTGATGACACACAGCTCTATCTCTCATAGCACGGATCTCAGGCTGCCTGGCGGACATCTCGGCATGGATGAAAGAACATCACCTCCAGCTCAACCTGGCTAAGACTGAGCTTCTTGTTTTCCCTGCCACTCCAACTCTACAGCATGATTTCACCATCCAATTAGGTTCTTCTACAGTTACCCCAACTTCGGTCAGAAATCTTGGTGTAATCTTTGATGACCAGCTGACCTTCAAAGACCACATTGCAAAGACCGCTCGATCTTGCAGGTTTGCATTGCACAACATCAGAAAGATCAGGCCCTTTCTAACGGAGCATGCTGCACAACTTCTTGTCCAGGCCCTTGTCATCTGTTCCCACCCCAATCCGGAATGCTGATTCCCTGACAATCTTTAAGCGACAGCTGAAAACTCATCTCTTTCAACACTTTTTGACTCCATCTTAAAAAAAAAAAAAACTCTTTCTCTTTATTTATTCCTTCCCTTTCTAGCTTGTACTTGCTTGAAACAATGCCTGAAACTTGGTATTACGAGCACTTCCTGTGTCTGTTTGCCTCTTTAAGATTAATCGCATTATGTATTCCCCAATTGAAGGTCGCTTTGGATAAAAGCGTCTGCAAAACGACTAAATGTAAATGTACATTTTTTTCTGTCTGTTTCTGACAGGGCGTCTACTCCTCCGTCACAGCATGCCACATTGGGCTGTGTGAAAAATTTGACACACAAGGTTAACATTTCTGACTCTGTGCCTCCTGTCAGATGCAAATTACGTCGCTTACCTTTCTCTGTGAGAGATGCCGTTTCCACAGAATTAACGCTGCTCTTGGATGCCGGTGCCAATTTGAAAAAATGTGTCTCTGATTGTTGTGGTCCAAAAGAAAACGGGGGGATCTGCATGTGTTTGGATCTGCGAGGGCCCAACAAGTCAGTTATAGTGGATAGCTACCCCTTACCACACATGGAAGAGATGATGATATTACTGCAGGCAGCAACATTCTTTTCAACCATTGACTTAGATTGTGCATACCACCAAGTACCTCTTCATGAAGACAGCCGGGATCTCACAGCATTCTTTACACACGAGGGGCTCTTCAGGTTCAAAAGAGTGCCATATGGTTTGGCATCAGCTCCTTCTGCATTTCAGAAAATGATGGCCATTATTTTGAAAGGACTCCAGAATGTTGCAAACTACCTAGATGACATTATTGCCTGGAGACGTACCTTACAGGAGCACGATCAAGCGCTAAAGAATGTGCTGCAACGTCTCAAGGATAATGGATTGCTTTCTGAATTAGCACTTAGACTCATTTAGCAGCAGAGTTTAAAATTTCTGGGACTCATTGTGACTGCACAGGGTATTCAGTTGGATCAGGAACATCTCTCCGCAATACTCGATGCACCTGCACCATATAATGCTGTTCAGTTGCATTCACTACTGGGACTCCTTTCATGGTATAATAAATTCATTCCCAAATTCTCTTCTGTAGTGGCGCCTCTGCGTGCAT